TATTGTTACGTGCACGAATGACCAACAAATGTCCGCTAACAAAGCATATATGAAAATAGACTCCCGAGTACGATATATGGCACGCAACAAAAATGTAACAACAAGCAGTTACCCATTTTAACTATTATTTAATTAGTTTTACATTGTCTAATTTACTTAGGTTAAAGATTAAGTTAAGCAGTTCATAAAGCAGGCTTACAATCCTTCATGCCGTGTAAGTGTTCGTCGTCTTGATCAACTTCCAATTCCAACATCCGCCGACTGAAGACCACAGCGCTTGGCTTTCTTGATTTATCGCATTCTTTCCTTGTACACAAACTCTTCCGGAGGACTCCATAGTAAACTCTGTATTCTCTATCTTCTTCCTCTCTCGACTATCGTCTTTTTCATCTCTTTCTTCTCTCCGGATATCGCAAGGTCAAAAGGTCATAGCCTCGTCATATCATAGCTTCCAAAAGTTCAGTCAGCAAGCCACGAGGGTAAGCCCTCGGGCAAATCTCTTTTGTACTTCTCACAAGCCAGCTTTTATACATTTACTTTAGTTATCTAGAATGTTCTATTACTATTTATAACGTATTACAAGTTGTACTATTTTTGGAAACTGCTGAGTCACATGAAAGAAGTTTCTGGAATATTACAGATTATAGATAATTCTAGAAAAGTCTGGGATTGCGTGACAGATTCAGTGAAAATGATTCGATCCTCGTAACAAATGCTTCCACGTTATGAATTTACATTCATTGCATCGTTTGCTTTAGACTTGGTTGTCGTTAGCTTACTAATAATAGCGGGTGATTTTGCGTTAACGTTGACGCGTCCGTTGCGGAATGGAATTTATGTAAAGTGGCTTGTGCAAATGAGACTAGTTGACGCATAAAATTGAAGATAGGAAGTTGGCTGAGGCTGTTAAAGTGATCTCTTTTTACCTTGCGACCAAAACTCCACAGATCGATTACAGATTGCAGATCGTGCAGCAAGTGCATCTGCATATACCTAACTATTTTATCGAAAGAACAAGTAAAGTAGGAATAAAAGACTTATTGAGCAAGAGTAAAATGTTGCTTCTTTAAGGAATATGATGCTAACTGTTTATCTGGTCCATACACTATTCATGTATACTGCGAATCTCAGAGATTCATCAAGCTTAATCTCTCCACTAGGGTCCTAAGGGTTTTCCAGGAGAGCCAGGAAAAACAGGAGAAAAGGGTGAAGCGCCTGTTGGTCCTAGAGAGGAGGTTTACCAGCCCCCAGGTCCGAAAGGTGACGAAGGGAGCCCTGGGTTTGAGGGCTCAACTGGGCCTGCTGGTAATAATGGGTCTTCTGGACCGCCTGGTTCAAGTGGAGAAACTGGATTGCCCGGTGAACCCGGAATGACGGTAAGAAATGGATAGTTGTGTTATAGCTGGCAGCGCCCGTGGGCAATTTGAAGCGAATCCTGTGCTCAGATAAGTTACCCGAGCGAGCAAGATGGGCCCATCCTTGCCCGCACGGGATTGCCCGTTTAGATCGCCTGTAAGAAGAACATTGCGTGGAGCGAACTGACAAAGTAAATAATTTTAGGACAGTGTCGGCGATGGAATTGCAAAAAGTGGCAAAAGACGGTCAAAAAAAAGAAATCGTAAACGGGTCTCCTGAGTTTGCTGTGTTACAGACACGGGTGGCTTTCTTTCCTGTCCCTCCAAATTGGTTCTTGATAGAGCAAAAGATTTTGCTCTATGATAAATTCATTATTGACCAAAGCTTGTTCGGTAAAGATGACTGGATATTAGCCGAGTTGGTTTTGCGTTTTGATTGACCTCGACATCGTTTCGTCCATTTTGTTCGTTCATAATCCCTGGAAGTCTGGATACATTATAGTGGTTTATGTAATTTCATGAGTAATTATAATCTCAAAAAAATTCCATGTACAAGAATGTGGAAGAATATTCACATGCTTGATGCTGGACCGAAAGTTTCAGGTTTGAACGCTGGCTGGCTATCACGGTAACGTGTACCTGGACAGAAAACTTATCGCCCTACCCCCACCCCTCCCCTCCCCGCTAGTGGGAATCCTGCGATGGACCAACATCCTAACTGGGACGTGAGGTGTGGAAACACCACTTCTTCCTTTTTCCTACTGAAACCGGGAGAAGCCTTCGCAGGGTATGCCGGCATTGTGGCTCGTTAGCTGACGTTTCTTTCACCTTTTCAGGGTCTTAATGGTTCTTCAGGTAAAGATGGTCAACGCGGAGCGCCTGGTATCAGAGGTACAACTGGTCAGAAAGGTGAGAAAGGGATCATGCCAATGCCGGACATAGCTAAAAATGGCTCAAAAGGTGATCCTGGAGACAAGGGCTCCGAAGGAGACAAAGGAGCCAAAGGAGAAGGCACAAGTTTGGGTGAACTAGGTACTACAGCTGTTTATCGTTTATCACCTTGATTGCTTTATGTCTTACTTTCTTCTCATGCGGCGATCAATTCGAAGCTTCAACATTTCCCTTCCTCAAGCAACCTCCGGCATTTGAACTTGTTCAAATCCCACCCCCGCCCCCGAGGGGCAAAAATTCTGTTCAAATGCTCAACCCAGTTTTTTTTGTAAGCAAAATTAGCGACCGTGGCTTTCTACACATTGACCAAGCTTTAAAACCTAGACCTTGCAGACCTTTTCTTCTGAGCTATTCCCTCGCGAAAGCGAATTATTTACCTTAAACAAATCCACATTGAAAGATATAACACTTGTATTCCGCTGGAAAGACTCGACACTTCCGGTTCAAATTCCCCAACGCAGTCAGGCAAGGTTCAAATTCCGCATTCCGGGGCTCGGACGACGGTCAAATGCCGGTGTGTTGCCTGGGGGGGAGGATGTCAAACTTCGATTTGATCGTTGCAGAAGTATTAAATTGTTTGTTTTTTTTTTTTTTAATGGGTGGAGGGTTTGTATTGTGACAAAACTATGCCTGAGGTTTTGAATCCTACTCAAGACACGAGTACAATTTTCCCCAGTCCTGACTGCTCCGGGCTAGTAAAAATATAATTTTTTTTTATTTTCCGGTGGTGACATAAAAACGGTTTTTGTACGTAATTGTATCTTTGGATAAGAATGGAATTACTAAAAACCATACTTTTGAAAATCTTCCCAGAGTACAGGTAGCAATACCACGCTCAAAAACATGTTTTAAAGAGTTTTTTTTTTTTTTTTTACTTAGTTTTGAGATTGAGTGAAATTTCCAAAGAGACACTTATGATAGGAGAGAAAAAGGCAACCGATCAGCGATTTACGCTGATTCATTGAAAGACAGGAACTCAACACAATTGTTTGTTCTGACCATGGCCCATCTAGGAAAAAATTGAACCAGTATTAGCTTGCAATCACAATGTTTGTTTTTATGATCTAGCATTATGACCCGTAGAGTTGTTATCGCAAAAAAGAATGATATTACGACTCGGAAAACCTCACC